TTTATGTGCAACCCCAAAAGCAAAGTCAGCGGGTTCCCAGTTTTCAGTTCACCTCCCCTCTACTCCCCTCCATCTACGGGGAAAAAAAACCCCCCCCCCGGAAAGTGACGGCTGCAGTCGAGGGAACGCTTTTGACGATGACACCCTTCAGCGACCTCCCTCAACCTGCAGAATCCGTTTGGGGGAAAGCACTTGAAACTTTGCTTTTTACCGTTTTGCTTTGACACTGAAAGAAAATATGAGTAAGAAGAGAAGTTAGAAATATAATTTTACTTACTATTTATAAGTTTAAGGGGGAAATATAGGAACAACTTTCTTTACCTTGCAGAGAAACCTTTTTTTAACTAACGAAAACAACTTACTAAACTTTTTTCAAAGTGCAGCTCCTGTCTGCTGCTCCCAAATGTCCCATTGACGAGGCCACGTCGGCCATTTTTAATGGTTCCGTTGCAAAGCGTGGCAGGGGGGGGGGGAGGCATCGCATTTGCAGGGGGCGACCTGTGGAGAAGCGGAAAAAATTAAAAATATTTTGCATACTTGCCGGCGCATATGCCGCAAAATGCTTGTCCGAAGAGCTATTAAAAAGTTTCCAAACATAATGAAGGGAGCTTGGAAGTATATATATATATGAAATAGGGGAGTCCCCCCCCCCTGCTGCCCCCCTGCTGCAGGGGGGTGTGTTTGCATGAAGTGTGTAAACAGTTCGCGAAGCAATTGCCCGGTCAGAAGGCGGAAATTTACCTGTAATCGGCCACACGCATTAACCAAACAAATCAATTGAGCGTTAAAGGCCAAAAGGGCAACAAGGGCAGCAAGGATATGGCTTTTTGTACGTCTCCTGTTAGAACCGTAATTGGTAATTGAAAGTGGCCCATTCGGAGTCCTCTCAACCCCACTAAATCCAACGCCGAACTAATCAATCAAGTGTGTGAGGGGAAGATGGCAAGGTTGGAAACTAAGAACTGCGAACAGGGAACAAGGGACATGGAACTTACGCGGTGAGCTAACCAATCGATTAATCAATCAATCAATCAGCCAGACAGAAAGACACGACAGACAGTCCAACGGATTGCCCAGCAAAGGTCAAAGGGTGCCACGGTTTTTGGTGCCAATTAGCGAGGCTAAACATCTGGATTAGGGACGCGGCGAATTAGCCAAAGCAGGAGTGACAAGGGCACCAAAACTTAGCGGAGATTACTAACTGATCCAAGCCAACTGTTGTTTACTTCCATTTAACTCAATTAAGATGCTAGATTAGTGGGACATTGAAAAGGGGTGGGAAGTTTATTCAGAGAGGTAGGGTAATCAATGTCATCAAGGGGGTTGTAAATGCCGTTAAGGGTTAACCCATTCTGGTTAATCTTTGAAATATCTTTAATATTATGAAAGAAAAACTAACATTTGATAGTTTTATTATTAGAAAAAGCATGAAAATGGGCGATTAAAACCACTTACTTAGCTTTCTTAAAACCAAAGTTGCCATTCAAGATAAGACCGTAAAGGAGATTACCTAATGGTAAATACCTTCAGCCACAAAAGTCATAACCAGCTGGCAATCCTTTACAAAATCCATTCATTTATTCAGTAAAAGGATCTGAGGTCATCAGAGCAATATCTATATAGATTCCATATGTGAGACTACACACCCACATGGCCGCCAACACCGTCTTACCTCTGACGGTGTCATTTTAATAAAAATCAAAGCCAGCAGATAGCATAGAGGATAGAGAACGAGGATGCCCATAAGATGCAGAAAGATTTCGGTTTGTGGTGGCAACGCAATCTCTGCAATATGCCATGGTTGAAAGAGGACCAAGAGAAGAAGGCGAGCGGCATCATTTCCTGGGCGGCCAAAATGTGTCACACAAAAGAGCCAGTGTTGGCGGAGACAAGGGCAACATGTGGCCAGGACTCATTGCAGTTGCAGTGGGCCCAGTGCCAAAGTGCCTGCGGTTATGCAGGAAAAACAGAAAAGAGTGAAAGAAAAATGGTGGCGACACCAAAAATGGCTGGCAGCCTTGCAACCGTTTACCTGCAACTCTTGTGCGGAACGAGCGCATTAATGCCGCCTTTAAAATTTATGATATTTACTCAACCAGACAGTAGAGGCAATGAGCCGCAGCCCACCATTGCATCCGCAGTGGGTGTGTGTGTGTGCATTTTGCATTTTGAATTTGGCTCAAAGAGCCGAGAGTCGAAAGCCGAGAGCTGTGAGCTGTGAGCTGTGAGCCAAAGTGGCAATCACGACGTTGGCCCAAGCCAATGAGTACTGCCTGGCTCGGTGAGTCATCGCCTGGTTGGTTGGTTGGTTGGTAGGTAGGTGGTGGCAGTGTCCTGCCAGTTGATTTTCCTCGAAGACAGCGCCGCCACTCAACTTTCACTGCAAAAACGGATGAGGCAGCCAATTTTACGCCACTTCTGTGCTATTATTTTTGAGGGCCCTTAAAAGGGGTTTATTTAAAAAGTGAATTTAAGTTCTTTATAGTCTTTAAGAAATGGGATTTTGTTAGGAATTTATGAAGTCTACTAAGTGAAACAGTTTTTTTCTAGTGTTGCACAATGTTTAAGCTAGCTTACAGTGTTGGAAAGGCCCTTAGAAGTTCTTCTACGTAGAAGAATTTTCAATTTAATCACAAACCTTGCTGATAAAAAGTATTTCTTATTTAGTAAATGATATAAAAACAAGTTTTTATCATAAACCAAACACAAACTCTTAACCAAGAAATGCTGCCTGTTGGCCCAACTGACCCATGTCAGACGATGTTAACACCTCAAGAGTCAGTCAGACAAGACATTGGGGTGCACTAACCGGCCAATTGCCCGGGACAAGAGACCATCATTGGGGTCCATCCACCTACTGAATTGGCCTTTCAATTGCACATCTCATGGCCCCGGGATATCCCAGCGACAGCGCAGCTGTGCACAAAAGTTGGCCATAGTTGGCTTCGAATTTTCCAAGCCATGGAACGATGTTTAAGTTTCATTTTAGTCTACGCCGTTCGCATGTCAACACCTGAGACGCTCTGAGTTTTTCTCACTCACTTACTCTCTCTTTCTGTCTTTCGGTATTTCTTTTTTTTCGTTTTTTTGTAATTTTCTTAAGTGTTGTCGTGTATCTTTTGGTCTTGAAAATTATTGGCAACATGTTCTGTCGTCTCTGTTGGATTGATTTTAATGCCGACGCGGCGAGGGTTGTGGAGTGTGCGGGTCCCTGTGGTCGTCGCTACCACCACGATTGCGTCGATGTCACCGGGGATGTGGCGCAGATTTTGGCCAACGGCAGTGGTTACGAATCCGGTCTTGAATGGTATTGCCGCACTTGTCGTCAACTTTATCGCCTGCAAGTGTACTTCGAGGTAGCTATATAATTGAACGCAGACACACAGACAGAGTGAACATCCATTCTGGTCTAGATCTAGTCTAGTCTAGTCTTGGGTCTTGGTTCTTTATTCGCTGATTGAATTTCAGTGGCGTGTGTCTGTCAGCGCCTTCTGGTGACCTTGTGACGAGGAGTACCAGGGAAATGGTCATTAAATTATGTTTTATTCCTTGATTGCTCTTTGGGATAAGATAAGCTTAGTGTAATTAACGAAATTAGCTTGATAGCGGGTGTGGCAACTGTACTTTAGAGTAGTGATTAGTTGGATTTTTGGGTTGTGAAATATTCAGTGGGGGTCTACTGTACTGATTTGAAGTTCTGACACCTAAAAAGTTCCAAATAAACCATAAAACAAGTACAGTTGCCTTCTTAAGATACTACAACCTGACATGTCTAGACATGTTCTGTTATAAATCAACTTTTGTACGCAACTGTACTTGCTTTATAGTAAATTAACATTTGAAAAGAAGGCAACTTTCTAAGATACCATTGCTAAGCTGTTAAACTAGCCATTCCAAAGTCAAGTTAAAGGCTATTTCGTAGCCCCCCCTCCCACACAACCAAACCCTTTGCCACCTACTGTACTTTTTACTAAGCTAAATCGTTTTTTAAGCAGAATCCCGCAGAGTAACCAGAATAAGTTTGCCTTAAGCCTGTAATTAGTAGACCGCTTTAATCCATCTCGATTCATTTCCATCAGCTGCTAAGCTTCGCTGCTCTTCCTAACCCATACTTCCTTCTCAATCCGCTATAACTATATATATATCTAGCAACCCCCTTATCCCCCTTACCCCCTCCATCACTTAACGTTAATTGCAATACTCAAGACTTTTTCCTGCGTATCAACAGAGCAACAAAGCTTTGTACATTTGCATCATCTGGACGTGGATACACCCCACCTGGAAAAGTGATGGTGGCGTTAAGGAAAATTATAAGGGAGGGGGGGTGGTTTGGATAAGGGAGAAGGAAGCCGCCTGTCCAAGTAACAAAAGAACCAGCTGGAAAAGCATCGTCGCCATTTTTAATTGTAACTGTAATTTAGCCATTGTTGTACACTTTTGATGACGCAGACGTTTCAGCGTTCAGCCAAATGGCAAGAAGTCTGCTTTTGGGCGCAAAAGGAAAAAAAAAGATAGCCAAGGTGGAAAATGGGGCGGCGAGCGTGGGAGCTACACCCCCCCACCCCCGCATATGCATACATACACTTGAGGTGCACGTGTCGTGGCGTTCGTTATTGTTTTTCCCTCGCCTGCATTCGCTGGGTTTTCTTTTTTTTCTTTTTTATAGCCACCTTTTCATTCGGTTCAAGGGTATTTTTATATGCACACAGGCATAGCCTGGCATCAAAAAATGTATTTTAAGCTTTTCAAATAGCCAAGAAATTGATCTATATATATGGGTTTATGTTGGGGTTTAAGGTTATGAGAGATATAGAGGTTTATAGAGATGGGTTTTGAAGATTTTTCAAATTTTTAAGGATTTTCAATCATTTCACTGTGAAAGGGATAAACCTTGACTTTGTTATGAAACCCATTTGATATATATCTTTAACAATCAGATATAAATATCATTTACCAGCTAAAATATGACTAACTTTTCCTCTATCTTCTACATTTTGCAGATTGCCATCTGTGATGATTACAGCCTGCCCGTAGACTTTGTTAAAAAACGACCGTCCAGCTTTGATCCGTGCCTGGCGGAGGCGATACCAGCGAATCCCGAACACTGGATAGCCCCCAGTCCGCAAACAGAGTTTGTAAGTACTTGCTTGTTAAGTGGGTGGCTGGGTGGGATGGCTTGTCTCGAGTTTGGTAGGGCAATTAACTGTTAGGGACAGCTAATTGATAAACTGCACGGTCCAGCGAATCGAGTGGTGGGTGGTATGGTGATTTCGGGGCAAGTCGCATCAACGTCAGCCGCATCAGCAGTGCGTTAATGAAAAGCTTACTCTGCCTCTGCCTCTGCCTCTGTTTCTGCCTGGTTTTTCCTGATTTCCTATACCACCTCCCCCCCTTTTGGCTTATCCTGCAGCTACAGGCGGACAGACAAACAAAGAGCTGCTCAAACAATGCACGGACTATTGGCTAAATATTGCAAAAAAAAGAGAGAGAGAGGAGAGAGGAGGAAAAAACGGAAAATACAAACAAAAAATACGGAAAATAAACAGGAAAGCCAAGGCAAAAGGCGAAAAATAAGCGAAGCCAACAAGCAAACATAGAGAGAAAGGAAAAAGGAGTGGAAGTTGAGGGGGGGTGGGGAGGTGGCCAAAATGACAAACAAACGAAAATGCCCAGCGGGCGGTGGCTGACCATACAAAATTGGACACAGATAGGAAAATAGCCAATATTTTGATGCCAAATTGGATGATTTTTAGCCAGATTTATATAGGTAGAAGTTTTTTAAGAACACTTTTTAGTGTTTTTTTTATAACTTTGAGGGAAAATTTTTGAAGGATTTTTAAAGATTTTTCATTAAGAATTTCAATAACTAAGCATAGTTAGTGAATAAATTTAGTTTTAGTTAGAAATTTAAACATAAAAACTTGCTAAAAATATAAAAGATTCTATGATTGTCATGATTAAAGATCAGTTTTGCAAGATTTGTAAGCTTTTCCACAAGATTTTCCCACTCATCACTCTAGTTCCAATTAAGTTATAAAACATATTTATAAGAAAAGCCATCTATGGCCTTTTCTTGCCACTTAAATTTCCCAACACTAAAGCAATAACCGAACGTAAAAAGAGAATAGAATAGAAAAGCCGCTGTGATAGAGCTAGGAGATAACCTCGGGCTGCAGCAAATGCCTCGTGCCACAAATCAAATGATGCCCCCAAAAACCAAAAAATCGTCAGGCCCCGTCTACGTGCCGCCCCCTTAGGCCAACAAAAAAAAAAAGGAAAACAAAACCCCCCAAGGGTGGTGCGTTGCTTGTTTTTTTTTTTTTATGGCCCATACGGAAATATTTTTTGTGTTTTGTATTTTGTGTTCCCTTTGCATATTGCCACTAAAAATGAAAAGGAAAGCCGCATGAGGCGCGCACATAAAACACACACACACACACAGAATCAGGAAGGAGGCACAGGAAGAAGTAGCATCCTTGCCACTTGAAATTCATTTTATTGAAATTTTTCTTATCCCCATTGCGAGAGAGGAAAACGAAAAGCCAAAAAAGCGACCTTCAGCTGGTTTCTTCTCGGAAATATTGGCTATACTTCTTAGAGGGTGGTGGAGAGACTAAATCAGTGCCAAGTTTTCAATCTATAAGTTAAGGCAAAGAAGTGTTTGTAAGTCAAAGAAAGGAAACGGAAAGGAGAGTGTTTTCCTTTAAATTAATAACAAATAACAGCTCTCAATTTGGGGTAAATATTATTTCAGGGATTTAATATTCTTTAGGTAAATATTTTTTATTTTGTTTTCTGGGGGAATTGAGTAGCCAATTTTTTACTTTATGGCTTATAATTTGCAGGATTTACTCAATTGAATTGATTTTTTGGACTGAGATGAGCTTATTTTGTTTTGATTTTTGGTAGATTTTAAAGTTAAGCAAGAGACTAGAGGCCACTTGAAACTATTTAACCAACTTTAATGGCTTTCTTATTTCCTAATTTCTTAATATTTCTCAAATTAAGTTTACAATTATATACCTATCAAGGTTTTTTAAACATTTCACCTTTTAAATATCAAATGTCAAAAAAGTGTTGCGGTATTTTCGCTGGTTGGCGCTGAAAGCGCGTAGTTCTTGTTGTATTCGTCGCATCAGGTCATACTGTACCTTTTTGGAAAGCTCATTTCACGCGCTAACACGCGATTGATTGATTGTCAGTTATAGCGTCGCAATTACGGAGTAAAATCAAGAGAAAATATGGCATATTTTATAGTACTACTACAGTTTATGGACCCGATACCGCACAACGATGGTATCAACGTTTTCGTTCTGGTGTAGAGGTGGTCAAAGATGCGCCACGCTCCGAGTTTTTTGCCAATAGGGAAGCGAGCTTCTATGAGAGGGGCATTATGAAGTTGGCATCTCGTTGGGAAAGCGTTATCGAAGAAAACGGCGCATATTTGACTTGAATCGCATTATTCTAACCAATTTTATACCGCAAGACTTTTTTGACAACCTAACATTTATTCATGTGAAATTCTAATGAAATATTTAAAAAAATCATTGACATTTCCACCTTTTTTTCCGCCACCTATAAACACAGCCATTTTCCCTTAAAACTCTCCAATCTTCAGAGTCTTTTAGATAAAGTTGAATGAAAGCAGCATTTCAGCTAATTAAATGGTCATAAATGTTTTGAATGTTATCTTCCTCAAAATATTTTCCCCTCATTTTCCCTAAGGTTATTCCTGTTTTTTTGGTATATATATAATATAGATATATATACAAAATCCTGACTGCCCTTTCTCATTCCATGAAAAGAATATATTCAGCCAGCAAATGGCCCAAAGCGATAACGTTTAGCGCCTTTCGATGCTCGTTTTGGCCGCCCTCTACCCCGCTGTCTCCTTCGTATTTATCTCCTTTACTCTGAGTTTTCCAGGCTGCATATTAATGCTTGTATATATGTGTGTGTGTGTGTGGTGTGCGTGCGTGTGTGTGCTTGGTGTGCGTGTGTGCCTCCTCACATTTATTAATGTAATTTTATCTTATGACTTTTGTTTGCCATAAACATGGGAGCGAGACGGAGATGAAGTTGGAAGCGGAAAAAGGGAGAGAAAATGCTACACTGAGCATGAAAGTTAGTTAGATTTATGGGTAGGGAAAAATAACAACTTAACTGCATAAAAAGTATATTCTAGTAAAGCTTTTCTTTTTCTCAGATGTTTTCTTAATCTATAACAGATTTTTAAACCCGAAAAGCAAACAAATTCCTCCTAAACTGTCTATAATTTCCCAGATTTCAGTTCTATATTTAATGAAAGTGTAGAAGCATCCATGTGATGATGCCATAATAGCTTTCACCAGTCATCTGCATGTGTGTGTGTGTGTGTGTGTGTGTTTTAAGCATTGTTTTTTCTGCTTTTTTTTCTTGCTTTGGCCAACTCACGTTTTAATGGAAGCGAACGCGACATTTTTCGATATATTTGGAGCGCGTCTGGCACTGAAGTGGGTTCTGTTCTGTTTTAAAACAAAAACAAAAACAACAACAAAAAACAGTAAAAAAAAAAAGAAAGTGAGATGGCGGGAAAATGGGTGGAAATTCGTTTGGCTTTTTCGCAGTTGTTGCTATTACTCTCCATGGAGTAATATTCAACGATAACTCACAAGCACAAAGGCCAGGCCTCCAGCCAGGACACGTTTATGTCCATGTGTGCGTGCTTTTTGTTTATTTCAATAACTTGACTATGCTTTATATATATATATCTCATATATATATATATGTTTTTTGCAACTTCACCGCAAATAAAATACAAAAAAAAAGCAGCGAAATAAAACGAACAACGACAACGTCAGCTTAGATATCACTCATACGCCCCGTTGTCTGAGCTAGTGGTATTGAATTCCATCGCATGACAGAGGATGCTGTTAAAAGAGTCACAGGTTACACTGAGAAAATATTAATTGGTTTTCGTAGTGAAGTGTAATTGCTAATGGGTTTAAAGGAGACGCCTATTAACTCTTCTTATTATAATTTGTTTCACTTTTTAATCTTTAAACATTTTAAAATCACTTTTTTAAAGCTTTGCTAACATTTCCCAGTGCACCATCCACGTGTGCAGATTATTTGTGTGTGTGTTTGAGAGTTAAATGGTTAAGGGATGTCCAAAAGGAGACTACAGCTCGTCATCAGCATTAGTCACTAAACAATGGGAATGGCAAAGATGTGAGATGTGGATAGAAAGGACACACCAGACCAGCTTTCATTCCCCGTTAACGTTGATTTCTTTTCTGTTTTTGTATTTTATTTTGTATGTTTTTTTTTCATTAAAGTTGGCATAAAAATCACGTTGTTGGGGCAACAGCAAGCGCGCAGACAAAAGTGGAGTCGGAAGTGAAGGTGGATGGATTCCAACAGTTTTCATTATTCTAGAGATGCCCCATTCCCCCCACCGATTTCTAAGGGCAATCGTGCATGTGGATATATAGTATATAGTATTATATATGAGCCCACATAAACGTCTGCTTGATATCGTTTGTGGATAATCAAAGGCAAATATTTAAACAGGAATATGTGAATGAATGGATGGATGGATGGATGGCTTCAATTGGTGGGTGGTGAATAGACCCTTTGTTTCCTTCACTTCTCCGCTCAACGAATCCACCATCCAACCCCATTATCAGTCTTTGCCTTGGAAACCCCCCCTTTTACGCTGGCTGGGAGAGAGAGCACAGCATTCGGTTTCAAGTTCAAATTCATTAAAAATGTTTTTGATTCAAGTTCTTCCCCCCTTTTTGGATTTTCCCTTCTAATTTATGAGTTTCAATTAAAAAAGGTTACCCGAAGCTTTCCTTCCCTCCACAAAATGCATTTGCTGCAGCAGCAGCAGTCTCTAACTGCAGAACAATGGGCTGGCAACCATGCGGCAGAGTTGTCTCCGCCATTGGCCAAAACATCAATTTCCGTTAGCAACATATCAGGATAACCAAGGACCAACCACAGGCCAACTTTTCCGAAACTGGACATGGACATAGCCAGTGTAAACGGAAATTTATGTTTAACATAATGGGGCAAGGAATTGGGGAAGGAATCTGAGAGATGGGGGGGTACCTATGGTTATAGACAGACCAAAGAGAAGGTGGAGTCTCATAATTTGCACACATTAGGATCCTGTTAATGTCACCGATGTTGCACTTCCGTAATGTCCAGCTATTTGTCAAACTCAACGAGGGGGTAGATATGTTACATGAAGGGAGAGAGAAAGAGAGAAGTAGAAGGAAAGGATATTGTGATTGACATGGCATTGTTATGAACAAACTGGAGTTAGAGCAGGGTAAACGGAATGTGCCATGGGTTATGGGTTATGGCAAATGAAATCCCATCCATCATGAAGGGAAACATCCAGACAAATGGCAGATGAATCCAGTTCAGGCCAATAGATGGGAATATTGTTTCTTTGCTTGCCATGTAAAGATCAACTTTATATAGAAATATATATAGATTTCACCTTAAAGTTTCAAAATAGACAGCTAGTTGAGTTTCCAGCCTTTATTCGTTAATAAAAAAAAGCCACACATGTTACGTATACGCCACCGAATGTAATTGAAAAAAAGTATTGCCTGCTTTTTCGGGCTACCATGATTCGATTGGCGGTCTGGCAGTAGTTGTTGGTGGTTATTGGTCGGTTGCTTTGGCCGAGGAAACCCAATAACCGCCACAAACGAATGGGCCACGCATATTCCTCCATGCTGGCCGCCTTTTATTCTTTTCAATTAAATGCCAAACAAATTGCAAATTGAAATGCAAATCAAATTAGCCGCTAACAAATGCTAATGCCCCTTTCCTTTCTTCTTCTCTTTGCCAGCTGCCATTTGGTGAAGCCCAACAAGTGTTGCAGCTACCAACAGCAGTAGCAATAGCAACATCAGCAACAGCAGCAGCAGCAGCAGCAGCAACAACATCAGCGGCAGCAGCAGCAGCAGCAGCGGCAAACGCAACAGTAGCAGCACCTCAACTACCGCCCCCGCTGCCCGCCCCAGTGGCAACATTGCCCAGTCAGGCGGCAACTGCAGTAGCAGCAGCAACAGCTGCAATTTTGGCCACCCACCAGCAACAACAACAGCAGCAGCAGCATTTGAACAGCAACAACAACAACAACGGCGGCAATACACACAGCCAACCGAATACGCACAACAATAACAACAACACCTTGCCAGTAGGGGCACAGCAGCATCAGCAGCAGCAGCAACAGCAACAACGTGCTACCTTGCAACATCCACCTTTGCCTAATAGCAACATCAAGCAGGCATCGGTGAAACTGATCGAAGGATATTCAGATCCCAAGGATACGCGGAATCACAAGAAGGTCTATCACAAAAAAGCCAAGAAACGCTCGGGTCCAGGTCACAAGCGTCATCAGCAGCAGCAACAGTTGCAGCAACAGTTGCAGCAGCAGCATCAGCCGCAGCAACAGACGTTGCCAACGCCCAGAAGTGCACATCAGCAGCAACAGCAGCAGCAGCAACAATTGCAACAACAGCAGCAGGTGCGGCACTCTACCTACAACAACAACAACGGCAACTTGAGGAAGGATAAACGCAACAGTCAATATAACTCAGGTAGGTCAACTCTATGGAAATTGCCATTAAAAACCAGAACGTTAACCTCACGAAAGAAGAAAAAACAAAAAAAAACTTCCCCCTTACTTGAAGTCAATAATTAAATTAGCTTCAGTTAAAGTTCATTAGGCCTTCATGGTCCAGAGATTCAAACTATCCCGAGAAGCAGGAGTCCAGGGCAATAGTAACCGAGAGAACCAGCAATTAGGGAAGAAAACAGCCGAAGGCGGGACAACTTTTCCCGCTGCGGCTACTTCGATTATCCAAGCGTGAAAATGGAAACTGGCAGGCACTGATTAAGGAAGAAGGGCTGCCGCAACAGCAACTGCAGTAAGATGGTGGAGTCATCCACATCCTCGGATGCAGTGGGTGTGGTGATAGAGAAGCTGCGGGCAGCCAAGCGCCAAATAGACTGCGTCAACTCCATTTGCGTTCCGATTGCGTGGCCCGCGGCGCCGCAATGTCGTCGCAGCGACTTAATTACAGACTGTCAACGCCGTCTCAGCAAGCTGGGAGAATGTATATACTCGTTATATATGTACATTATCATCCAAAATTAACCAGACGTTGTCCTTTTATTAACAAGATTTTTAAATTATGGAAATAAGAATGTCCTTTCGTTGACATCTCCGGCTATGAAGGCGGCTAGGTTCGGTGTTACTTGAGATGCCTGAAAGTATGCAATATATATAGCTAGTTTAGGTTCTACTAACTTTAATTAAGATTTTAAACAACTTTTCTTACCGTTTCTTAATCCTTTTCAGACTCCTCGGCTCCAAAATCTTCTGACGACGAGGCGGATATCGACGAGGAAGTTGAGCAGCTACCACTGCCCGTGCCCCAAGCTCCGGTCCAGGCTGCTCCCTTAACAGCAGCGAGTCTCAACTCACCGGACTCCATATCCGATGACCTAGTGCGTCCGCTTCCACCACAACTTCAGCGCAGTCCTCGTAAGCTGACCGTAGCTCCTGCAGAGCACAACAAGCGCCAGCCTTCGCCCTACTACTACTCCGATCTGCTGAAGAGTCGTGACAAGGATAAGGACAAGGACAAAGACAAGGATAAGGATAAGGAACGGGACAAGGATAGGGAGGATTTCAAGCTGAAATGCCGCCAGTCAACGGCCAGTGAACCGCCGCAACAGACTCAAAGTCAATTGGCTGGCTATCGCAAGAGTTCCAGCTTGGATGTGCCGCCGGCGGAGGAGCAACCGGAAGCCGAGAGTCACGAAGAGGAAGATCCACGTGCGGGCCAGGATTCACAGTCAACGCCAAAGCGTTATAGTTTCACCGAGGAGGGCGTACACATCATCCGCTGCGAAACGCCAAGCACCAGTACTTCCGAGGAGTCCGATTGCAGTGAGTGCCTCAAGCGACGCGAGTGGCACGCCCGTGCCTTGGCCTTAGTCCGCAAGACCTGCAACGTCCAGCCAAGGAATCAGAGTCAGAATCAGAATCAGAATCAGATTCAGAACCAGAGTCAAGGCCAGAATCCCACTGGCAGCGAGCTCCAGCTGCAGCTGCAACATTGCGACGCCGGCGAGGGCGAGCTGCTCAAGTGCTGTCCACCGCCACCGGCTCCAGCGGAGATCCAGGTTAGCCATATCGATAATGATATGATTTCTTATCATCTTATTAACTTTCCTTTATCATTGGCTAGGTCCAGGTCCAGCCGATGCCACCGCACCGCCTGCTGGGACCAGCAGCCGTGTGCGGAGCCTGCATCACATCCGCTCCTGCCTCCTCCTCCTTGGCCGGCGGACGGGGCAGCGAGCCCGGCGATGATCTGGAAGAGGAATACTTCCGGCCGCGCAGCATCTTCTATGTGCATCCGCATGGCGTCCACGAGTGCGCCGAGTGCGCCCAGCCAGCCCAGCCAGCTACTGTACAACCGCCAACGCTGAGCAATCCATCGCTCGATCTCTACGACGACGACGACGACGACGAGGAGGACGAAGTGGACGGTGACGAGGACGAGGACGAAGAAGAAGACGACTCCGAGGACATCATGGGCAGCAGACGGCGTCAGATCTATGAGACGGCTTTCGACTGCAAGATAGCCAAGTCGGATGATGATCTGGATGAAGTGGATCGCATTACCAATTGCTCGGTCTTGTTGCAGTTGAGTAATGGCAATGGTGGTGACATTGGCAAAGTAACTGGCTCCTCCAAGACACGAGCGGAATGCAAGAGGGCCAAAAACTCCAAGAATCAGGCTCTGCAAGAGCAAACGGGCGAGGCCCATGTCCAGGTGCATCAGGTGCAAGCGGAGCTGGGCAAACTGCAGCTCAGCCAGGTGGATCAGCAGAATCAGAATCAGGGCCAGCAGCTTGGGGCCACCGGTGTGAGTGGAGTGAGTGCGTCCAGCACTCAACAGCTGCCAGTGCGTGGCTATACTCCATCGCCGCCATCGACGGCTCCGCTGCCAATGAAATTTCCCGGCAAACATGACCGCTACCTGAACATGAACAGCATTAGAAGTGCACCCAATCTGCCCGCCGCCAATCCAGCGCATCCACGTCTCCGGGATCTCCGCTTGCCCATACAGTCCATGCGGCATCAGTGCGGCGGCAGTAGCAATAGCAATGACAACAGTCTCACCGACAGCGCCTATGTTAATCCGCCCTCAACTAATTCCAATTCGAATGCAGCCTCGGGTTCTGCATCGGCATCCGTCTCAGCAACGGGATCGGCAGCACCACGCCGGCCGAGATCTTTTGTCTTGGAGTCCGGTAGAGTATTGGAACTACGTCGCAGTGCCCAGGGTGGTCATCATCATCATCAGCAGGGTGGCCAGTCGGCACATCATCACCATCATCATCATCATCATGGTCCCGGTAGCAGGAGGAATCGTCATGGCCAGGGACATGGACAGACAGCAGGTGGCCATAACTATAGCAGCACGGAAAGCATTGCCACCTCGAGCAGTGGTGGCAGCATGGAATCACTGCGTTCCAGCACCAGTGAGGGTAATCGCAGCACCTCTAGTTCCGAGTCGCGTCACTCCAGTTCCCTGAGTTCCCATAGTTCGGAAAGCGGTAGCGGTGGCAGTGGTGGCTCCAGTGTAGCCTATCCATTGCGACCGGCACCCCTTCTGCTACACTCCAAGCTGCACATCCTCAGTCCCATTTCCGATAAGTCTTCACAGGAACCGGCCTCGGCCAGTGCCTCAGAGCAATCACAGCAGCCGTCCCAGGCGCCGATGGCGGCGCAGGAGGAGGATTCAAGTGGCGCCGTCCCAGCAGGCACTACCAATGTCCAGGTGAATACCTCCCTGAAGCAACCGCGCAATCGTAGTGCTCCAAACAAAGCCCTGCTCCATCTGGCCGATGAGCTATTAGGTTCGGATAGTGGAATATCGTTGCATTCCCGGGAGGAGGGCAAACCCCAGGCTTTGGCCCTGCAGCGTTTAACGCTTCCCAAACTTCAGCTAATCGGAGCCGAAGGAACAGCCTCTGTGGCGGGAAATTCAGCAACTGGTAGCAGTGCGGCTGGAGCATCTGGTTCGGGTTCAGGAGCAGCAGGTGGTTCAGCGAGTATACCCCAGGATTTGCGTGATCTGCCCTTCGATATGCCCAAGCTGCGGCGCCGCAAGACGCTGCAACAGGAGGCCGCCTGTACATCGGGCAGTGCCACATCCGTGGATCTCGGCGAGCTACCTTTTGATATGCCCAAGTTGCGACGTCGCCTGCGGGCCAATCAGGCGGAGATCAATAATCTGTTGATGCACAGCACCGAATCCAGCGGTATCTCACAGGCCTCCTCCAGTCATTCGATGCGAGACGATCAGAAGTTGGCCAGCAAGCTGGGTAAGTTGGGTGATGATCTTAATGCTTAAATATTTTCTTCTTGATTAATAATGAATTTTCCTTTAATATACAGATACAGCACTTTTCCGTCAGAACCTCACTTTAAACCTAAACGAATCGCGACAGGCCACCAAGCAGTTTGGCAGCCTGGATCTGCGAGGTCTCAATAGCAACAAGGAGCTGAACATGAACCTCAGCCAGGGATATGTCACCGCGGTGGACTTGATCGATGTCACCATTCCACTAGAGCGCCAGGGGTATGTTATCTGGCCATTTGACGGGTATAACCTTTGGATATATCTTTGATTTTATCTTATAGATGGTACCATGGCGCCATAACGCGAGTTGAGGCGGAGACCACGCTACGTCCGCTGTCCGAGGGTTCCTTTCTGGTGCGCAATTGCGAGTCCACAAAGCAGGACTACTCGCTGTCCCTGAAGTAAGATTGAAAGTCAGTTAATCTTATAGAATATTAGTCAAGGGGGAACTTATCTTTCTTTTAGGGGCGCCAAGGGCTTCATGCACATGCGGATCCAGCGCAACGAGACCGGCCAGTATATTCTGGGCCAGTTTAGCCGTCCCTTCGAGACGGTGCCGGAGATGATCCGTCACTTTTGCCTCAACCGGCTGCCAGTTCGCGGTGCCGAGCACATGTGTCTGATCGAGCCGGTCATTGCCCAGCTGCTCTAGACAGGATCTAGACAGGATCCAGAGAGAGAGAGAGATCTTTGGAGGGTACCAAACAGAATAACATATTAATAGCGTGTAGAGGACTTAGGAACCTATGTGAACAACACTGTATAAGCACTAGTTATATGCGAGAGATAGTTGTAGAGTAGAACGGGGAAGATGGCAAACATTGTTTTTTTTTTGTTCTTTGCCTCGAATTTTGTATGTCGGTGTAGTAGAGAAGGAGAAGGAAAGGTATAATATTAATAATACACCCCACTCACTCTGACACACGAACTAGTTTAGCGTTTAAAGTACGTAGCACATTCAGACAATACCAGTAAATTACAAAACAAAAACAAAAAACAAAAAACAAAAACCAACAACAACAAACGATATTTATATAGAAGGCATATATATACAAGCAGGACAAGATCTATATATATATATATATAAACAAGTATATGTATTTGGATAACGAGAGCACTTGAAGTCAGTTGCTAAAACATAGTAGTACACGATCCGATTAAGATACGGATATAGAGCTATTATGTGGCACTAAGCTAGTTGGTACAGATCCAAGGAGCAGCGTTTTTTTTAGATGTGTTTACACCGAACCGAGCTGAAGTTTAGGAACAACTATTATATAGCATTGGGTAAACGTCCAATGAGAACCCTTACGTTTGGCTAAAGATTTGTGGTAGAACACACACACAGAAACACACACTCTCACACATTCGAAACTTATGCAACTTTCTGTAGCACTCACACACATAATCGCCCACTTGTACCGCCCATCATTATCTATATAAACCTAATTTCCCTTGGTTAATAAGGCGGTTATAGCGGCTAGTGGGCTTCGCTTAGGGCACGTTTACACTAAGAAAAGTTTTAGCAAGCAACTCTAAAAATTTGTTGATTAATTTTATGTTACCAAAATGAAGAAAACGAACAAAAAAAAAAAGGAAATATGAAATCTAAAAAGTATGTATATCTATATATATGAGAACTAACTTTAGCGAGCAGCGATGTCATTTTTTTTTTTGTCTTAGCTGTAGGTCAGAGAGGTACGCGAAATAGAACGCTCAAAGCGCTTTTGGTTAAAGGATCGAATCGAATGGGATGGGAAGGGATGAGATCGGATCGATCGGTATGGTTAGACGAGGCAAGGATATAGCAACGCATATGAAATGTCGGTTTAAGTGTTAGTTTCTAAATGAAGGCCGCAGCAGGCGAACGAAGGGCAAACTTTATATATATATATATATATGTAAATATATATATATATATATATATATTATGAATGCTAACAAACAACAAATGATATATACTTACTATTTATATTTCTATATATACATCTATATATATATATATATATATATACACGATATTAAAGAGCAGTCAATGGTTTTTTGGTTCCAGTTCCGAGAAAGAGAGAGAAAAAGCAAGCGTCAGGCAGGATGAAAAAACAAAAAAATTAACTAATTATTGTTTCTGTTCAACCTTCGTACCGCCGAGCAAATACAACTGATTTCCAATCTATATATGTATATATATATATAGTATATCTCAACCCGGGGTTATGTTTCTTCTAGATGTGTGTGCCAAAAGTATTATTCTAGTCATATGTATGTGAATAACAGCGCGTTATTATATTTTCGATATGTTGATTGTTGCCTAATTTCTAATACTCTAAACTCAAGCAATCCGCTGCAGTGCAATATTAAAACCAATACGTTTATCTAACTCGTTTAATTAATGTATCTATGATTTTGACTAATTTAGCTTTAAGTTAATCCATAGTTAAGCGAATCAGTTTAAACATTATACATATATTCTTTATCACCAATAGAGACAGATTTTTGTAAATACGAGAATACAGATTACAAAATACGATACGATATAGTATGGATGTATAACAACACGTCGGTATGAATTTTATTTGCAATACAACTTTTAAGCTAAGATTTCAACTTCACATAGAAACCGCAAAACCACATACATAAACGACCTACCATAGCAATGTATTTTGAGGCTTCCGTAGCAGTTAAAAAAAGAAAACAAAAACAAATCCAAACCAAAAACTTACCAAAAAATCAACTACCAAAATTCCAAGATAATCGCAGCAGCACTCGGGCACCGTTTTTACACTTGCAAGGGGAAAGGCCGTGGGTGTGCAAAATCAATGAGTGTCGAATGCTTCCGTTTTGTTGTGTATAAAAAAGAAAAAGAAAGAAAATGTACTTTTAGAACTACTGTGGATAAAATGAACAACCGGCTTACTCTAACCGAAACTTGTACTCCAAACTAGAGGCGCTCTCTATCTACGGCACCCTAATATCTGATTAATTCAATTAGTACAGAGCGAATACGTAACAAGAAAAATAACAAAAAAGAAAACCAAAAACCGTAACAGCAAACGAAACAAACGAAATGTATTTAATAAAAATAAATATGAAAATTTCCAAAAATCTGAATTCTTATTTCTAGATCAATATGCGTGCATTTTAGCCACCACCATGAAAAACACCAACCACGCAATTTGTTAACTAAACTCTAATGTTAGATGGCTAATTATTTCTTTTATACGAACAATACATTTGAACTAAACCAACACAATGAAATTGTGTTGCTAAGAAAGGGCAACGAAACAGGGATCTCTGCTGCCAAAAGGCGTATACTTGATATTGGCTCTCTGCTATCAACAGACGTAACTTACTTTTGGGCACAAAAAATATCATTTTTTTGGCCACTAATGTAAAAAGTGGGTATAGGGGCTTAAAGTGTTGGTCGTAAGCTGCATAAAACAGTCACTGCTTTAGCTGTGCGTCTTGTCTGAGCTAAGCAACTGCAACAAAGTCGGGCTCTCTGTTACCAAAAGGCGTATACTTGATTTTGGGCACAAAAAAATCAGTTTTTTAGCCATAGCACAGCCAAAAAAGGTCCAAATATTGAATGTAATACCTCGTAGGCCTCCTAACTTGATTGCCAAGATTCCCAATTGGTTTGCATTCAAATCTGGGAAACTTCATTTTGGGCCCATTTTTGAAAATTTTGATGATGGTACCCCTTATCAAAAATGCGAAATTTGGGTCAAAATTGACTTTCCCAAAATCGAAAAACGAGTGATAGGGGTGGCCAGTATTGGTCGTAAGCAGCATAAAACTGTCGTTCTTTTCGCTGTGCGTCTTGTTTTGGCCGAGCTAGAGCTAAGAAACCGCAACAAATATTGCATTTTGATTTTTTAGCCATGAAATCAGCACTCGCAGCAAAAGAGCAGTACACTAATGTAAAAAGTGGGGAACCTTTTAGGCGAAGCAAGCCTATGAAATTAAATATTTAGAATGTCATTTAAATTTTGTTCTACACCAGAAGAAGGGAAGCGATCATTTCGCTAATTCTGTTCTGGCTTTGGAAGGGACGATGACTGCTCAGCATCCTGCATTCCTGCTGTTGCTTGCGAAGCTTCTCAACAACCTCATTTCGCTTACACCTCAGCCTGCGTTTTGGCCTCCTGTCCTTCTGGTCGAGCCGTGACCCATATAAGTGGCTTCTGTTCCCAGATCGACTGTATTATAGCCTCTTCCAGCGTTTGGCCGGGAGAACTGTGCTCCGCCATCCACTCGAACTGATCCTGCGACAATTCCTGTCCAGTAACTTCTATTAAAAAAAAAGAATTCACAATTTATTAGTGATTTTGAAGACTCTTCGGGAATATTTTGTAGAGGATTTGGATGTTTCACACGCGGACTTTTGTTTAATTTCGGTTTAATAAAATTACCATTACGAGTGGTCTTGGGAAGTTCCTTTTCTTTCTCGTTTTCCATTCTAAGTTAAAAATTTTAAAATAATAATATTAGAAACATTTTTTATGCTTCGTCTTCGAGCTTTCATAGCTTTCGAAAGGCCTAACCCAGCCTCTGTGATCACAATTTTTTGTTAGAAATCTAAAACAGCGGTTTGGAACTGCAAATCAGTATTTTGCCTTGAATAATGCAGGACATCGGCATCGTCGTCTGTGCAGGAAAAAACGTATAAATTGTTGGACATCAATTGGTGAAAGTACAGAAATTTTTACATGAGATGAAAACATCTGTTTTCTGCGACATAATTCTTTTTTCCGCAGAAATGTACAAATTGTAGAACAACTTTAGGTGGAAATACAGAATTTTTTTTATAAGAAATGACAACATTGGTTTTTACAACTTAATTATAGTTCCCACAGAACTTTACAGAACTTTCCTTTACATAGTTTTGGCTTTTTTTATAATTTTATTAAATCATTTTCGTATATTGATTTCGTACATATAGTATTTTGTTTACATATATATATTTTTTTAAGGTATATATAAAGTTGATTTGTAATAAATTATAAGCAAGACGACTGCACTCGCACTGGAAACGCGAAGAATTATATATATACAATAGAGTTCTCGGATAGTTCACGTACACATTATAAGTTACATTTTAAATCGCTTTAAGTACAGGGATAATGCAATTTAGTTACATAATTTCAATTCCCATTGGTTGTGGCGTTAAGATTAATTCGTTGATAAGCAGCTTTTCGCAGGAGGACGAAGACGTGGACGTAGACGTGGACGTGGACATGGAGAAGTGGAAGGAGGATCAAGTGTGGACACTACAATAATAATTTGGTCTGCTCTGCACCAGATCGTTGGTGTGTGTGTAAGTTTGTTTGTTTTTTTTTCTTTTCTTTTTTTCTCTTTTTTTTAAGGGGTTCCTGACCCACATTCCTTAGATGATCGCCTCTACCACACCGACTTCGGCATTCTTTTTGATCAGGTTCTCCCACTGGGCGATCAAGCCCCGCGACGAGGGCGCCTCCTCCGGTGTCAGATCACAAAGCTGGGCCAGCGACATCGCCGGACGCATTCCATTGCCATTGCCATTGCTGATACCATTGGTTATATAGGCGGCTGCATTCAGGCTGCGATTTCCCGAGGGCTTGTGGACAATCTCCTGCTCGTTTCTGCAAAAAAATAAAAAATGCGTTTGAAAATCTCTGGTCTTTAAGGTAAAAGACCTGGCATACTCACCCATTCCTATCCAGTTCCTGTGTGGACTGGGCATTGCGCAGTTTGCCCGGACCGTAACAGTGCTCCACCTCGGAATCCTCGTCATCATCATCCGCATCAGCCTCATCGTCTGTGCTGAGTTGCCTACGAAAAACAGAAATATATACATGACAAAGGTTTATAATAAAATCTATAGTTTTCGACTTACAGCTTGTCCAGGGAGGCCTTCAGGGTGTTCTGCCTGTTGATCTTACGCAGGCGCTTCAGCTCCGTTTCGCGTGACTTGAGGTCCTGGAGCTCACGCTGGATCTTCTGCTCGACAGGCACATAGCCCCGTCGCAGGGGCCTGCCTTCCGAATCTCTTTCGATGGCCGCCGGCGATAGGGTGACCGAGGTGATGGCCGAAGCTGAACCGCCCGATTCCAGGAATGCCATTGCCGTGCGGGTATTCAACTTGAGGGTGGTGCTATTATTGTTCTGACCATTGACGATTGCTCCACCACCAACACCAGTATTTCCATTTCCATTGGTAGCCAAGGTCAGGGTCAATGGAGAGGCTGGTGGCAATGGGCTGGTCGGTGCCAATTTGCCATGCGAGGCTATAAAACGCTGCATTACACCCTTGGTGGCGCCACCAAAGGCAAACTGACGCTTCTGTGGCAAACCACTTAGCTGGGGCGTCGATATGGTCCTGGTGATCAGCTTCTGTTGCGGCGGCTCTGGCGTCAGATTATAGCAATTGGGTCCAATGTAGCGCTGCTCCTGGCGGGTCACCACGGTCAGCTTAAGTGGCTGCTTGGTAACATTCGTATTGGTTTTGCTCTGCGACGAAGCCGAAATGCCCGAATCATCCGAGTGCTGGCCATCGAGACTCTCCTCTTTGGCGCTATTCACGCTGGAGGCCAGCGATGGTGTGTTGGACAGCTCGTCGATGGGCAGCAGAAGCGAGGTGGTCTGCACGGCAGCTGGTTGGGCGGTAACCAAGACGCCCTGTTCCTGATTTTGTTCCTGATCCTGCTCGTCATCCTGCTCCAGTTTCGTTTCAAAGTCAAGCCCATTGCCATTCACCGTGTATGTCTCAAAGTCCACCAATTGCGTTGAGTTGGCGGAAGTAATGGTGGTGGTGCTGGACGAGAACGTAGCCAGCTGGCGGTATTCCTCCTCGCGCCGCACTACCTCCTTGATCTCCTCCTGAATGCGTCTCAGGGGATCGATTTTCTGCAAGTACAAAGGGGAAGAAATATTCAGTTAAAAAAACTATCTTCGGTACATGACTATCTTTTGAAGACTTTGCAGCAAAGAACGAACTTGAGCTGATTTTATTTCGAGTGCATTTTGGTAACCTAAAACTGAGGAAGTGATCGACCAGCCACAGCTCCGATTACGCTTTAATCTTCTAAGCTGCATGTAATCGAATATGCCGCAAAACCAAAGCTGTCACTCACTTTCGATCCGCTTCAAATCGAAAGAGTTGCAAGCCGCAACATACAGATGCAGATGCAAGATACACCCGCATCCGTGAACTGCATCTTTGAGGGAAATCGAAGGAGACAAATCCGCTGTTTGCATAATCCGATTGGCTTCGAGACCGAGATCTCGTGCTGCCCAAATGATCCGTCACCAAAACCACACACACATCGTGTATGGATGGATGGCGGGACCCAGAGTGGCCCAGAGTGATGTTTGCTAAAGTGATTCCATCCAAGAGTGGACCCCCCAAGCGTAACCTAAGCCGATTATTGTGCGTGACATCGACAACAAAGTTGGGTGGTTTGAGGTGGTTCCTCTTCGGTTCGTTGACTGTTTTGTGGTTTTATTTCTGAATTGCTTTTCAAAATGCCAAACTAAAACAAAAAACATAAAAAACGAAAACAATAATCGAGAGTAAAAGTGTTTGGCAGTCTCACTTTCAGCTTGGTTTTCTATTATTATTATTATATTCTGCCAGCTGCCAGCATAAAGGAATTTGTCGGCTAATTAACAAGTTTTTACTGTCATCGTAAACACAATACAGTCGGGGTTGGGTTGGGTTCAAATGAATAGGGCTAAGAGTGGGGCAAATAAAGTTTACTTTTCAATTAGTAAACAAGTTTTTTGGAAAGAAAGGGAAGAGGAGTCTTTATTATAATCATAAGAGTAATGAGTCATAACACTCCCAAAAACATGAATTTTATATCTTAGAAATATTTTGTTTATGATTGGAAGGAAGGGAATGAAATTTGAATAAAAACTAAATATTTGCCTATCTACACCTACTTTTTTATGATTTACCCCTTTGAGAATGGGAAACTTTTCCTTGAGATAAGATAAATAAATGCTAATAGACGACATTGTAATGGAACCCGAACCCAAAATATTCCAAGCCTGATAATATTGTTTTTATATTTGCCAAGTTACATGACGTAAGTCCACAAATTGGAATATAAATTGCGCAATTTTTTGACTTTGAAATGATTCATAAATAGTTTACCCAAAAATTATGAATCTTAGCTTATATTTTAAACTTAAATTTCATTCACAATAAGAATAAGAACAACTTCCAACTATTTTCTCTCCACTTTTCTTCAGCTCTTTCAAAAACTAAATAACTTTTTCCCACAGCAATCAGCATCCATTTGACGGCTAAATACTTCCCCTGCAGTCATAATTCCAGCACTTACATGGTCTCTCCACAGCCTATATACGAGTACGTAGATTTCTTTTCATTTTTCTGGGGAAAAAAAACAAGTAAGAGATCCCACTAAGGGTAGTTCGAGGGCAGATGGGCCAGCCAGCTGCTTTTTCGGGTCACCCAAGTTGCCATTTGGGGGGCACATTTAAGGTCTGCGGGGTCTGTGACATCGCCATGTGGGTGCTCTTTATGTTTTCCAGGTTGCAGGTTGCTATTACTGCTGCCAGTGGAGTGTCGTCAGCGGGCTTCCGCATCGTTGTCGCATTAGAAAGTGCCACCAGACTTGCTGAGTGCTCGCAATGAGCGAATGTGCGGCATTTCAGCCTTTTTCTTTTCCACCTCACATTGTCTCGTTTTGTTTAGTCTCCGTCTCTGGCTTTGAGTGGAAATAATAAAATATTGCCTCGCAATTTAAGTTAGACCCAAAAAAAAAAAAAGAGTCTCGGCCCAGCGATTGACGCCCATAACTCATCGATTTCATGCAGATTTTCACTCAATTGTTGTGGCACCCAAAATTAAAAAAAAAAAACGCAAAAAAACGACAACAAATCGATTCAAAATGTGCGTTTAACGATGTCGTTTTCACTTACTTCAAAACAAAAATAAGCTTGGGTGAAAACCATAAAGGAAAACTCTGCCCAACGGAAGTCGAAGTGGGAAATACTCTTAAGGTTTATGAGAAAATATTTTATAAAAAAGAAATATAATATTTAAGCAAAAAGCAGAAATTTCCAAACAATAAGCCAACTTGCTACCACTTTTGGGAAAGGTAATTTAATATTTTAATTACATTCATTGGAAGCCCTTTGCAAGTTTTTTGTTCATAACAACAAAAACTGTAATGCGATCTCCGCGGGGGGGTTCACAGTTTAATTAACAAAAAATAAAAGTCCATGGGAAGCGCTTCCTGCAGTGGATTCTACCCATATTTAACCACTTTTAGTTAGTAAAAAGAAAGGGTATATATGCATGTATATACCCAAAATGCAGTATAGGAAAAAAAAAACATTGTACGATACTTCCGTTTTGTGCTGCTGGTAGCCACCGCCGCTACTTGTTGCTGGCGTCCAAGTGCAATGACAGCAGCAACATCGCCACAGCAGCAGCAACATTTTGAGGCAGCTGCCTAAAGTCAAGTTGACAGCTGCTCCTCGACCGGCTGTCACTTTTGGCGCGCGTTTTTCCAGCAAATTTACCGCAAAAGGGGGAAAATGCAAATGCAAAATGCAAAATGCGAATTGCAAGTCAAAGAGGCATGCGGCGGCATGCGGCATGCGGCGGCATTAGGCCTTCTTGTCCAAGTTTGAACCCATTTGCATGCCACATTCGCCGGGGTCAAACGCCCAATGGGTCGCGTGAACAGAGGCAGCCAACCTAAGAAACAGCAAAAAGCAGGCAACAAGCAAATAAGCCAAAGACTTGGGGCAATTTGTTGCTGTTTCTGTTACTGTTGCTGTTGCTGCTGCCACGACAAGATCGGCAACAACAAGATCAGCAACATGGCTAAAAGCAAATTGGCAAGAGGGGTAAACAAAAGCACAACACGAGCAAAAACGAAATGCGAACAAATAAGAACAAGGTGAAGATGAAGGTTTGGACTTAACCAGTACCTAGCATAAGATTCTGGCTTAAGAATTTTGTAAATTAAACATATTAAAAGAAAATCTTAGCATCTTAACTTAGTTTTTTACTAAACTAAAAACTGATCATTAACAAAGTAAATACTTAAAAAAAAAAAGTTACATAAACTTCATATACTTAGAAAGTCTCCTAAAGGCTGAGTTATTTACAACACCTTTCGACGGGGCATGTCACTGGCAAATGGGAAATCAATTAGCTGGCGGATAAGGAAAAATCGTATACCCACATCGTTGAATTTAGGGGGTAAGAAACAGCAGAAGAAGCGGAGGCGAAGGAGGAGGAGAAACAACAACAGAAGAAACAACGAAGAAACAGCGGGAGAACGTGACAAGAAACGTGACCGTGACTGTGGCTCTTTCTTTCCGCCCCCCTCCTACACACCTCTGCCCACCTCTTGTTTCTTTCTTTGCTCTATCTCTGTCTGGCAACTGATCCACTTCGGGCCATAACTCAGCAACACTGAGAATAATTTTAAGGGAATTTCTCAAAAAAAAAACAACAAAAATAAAAATAAATTTCAACTTAATAAAACTCTTTTAAAAACTCAAAACAAATACTTTTTTCCCCAACAATTTCAAGTTTAAGAATCATCTAGATTTTCTTTCAGTGCACTTTTCTCTGCTAGGGCTGCTGACGTCGTTTCCAGGCGAGCGATCAGCATTAGCATAACGTTCATCATTATCGTCATCATCACCTTCGTGATCATCGCGTACAACACTCGTACTCGTATTTGGGGCAATTCATTTAGCGTTTTCCTCAGTGACCGCCGCAGTTGCAGCTCAAGCGTGCAAAAAAAAAAATAAAAATAAAAACAATAAAGCAGCAGCCTGAAAACAACAACAAAAACCAGCAGGAAAAATGCAAAAAAACAGGAGGAAAAAAAAACCAAACAATACATTGAATATGCAAACGAAGGGCGGCCGGCACTTAACATTCTTTTTTTTGGCCAAAAGTCTTGAATGGAAACATCAGCAGAGGCTAAAAAAAACTGATTCGCTGAGATATCCTATGCTTAGAATTTATGCGATTTATGAAGGGTTAAGTCCCTCAATAGCTAGGTTTACCTTTTAATAGGTTACTTCCTAAAAATCTATAAAGCTTAAGAATATCAGCGTTATTTTTAGGTCAAATGTGTCCAAAAACAAAAACAAATTCACAAACAATATTTATTATTTAAAGATTTTTCTTAAGCAATTACTCATTACTTTGCACACAAATTATCAGCTTTGTTTTAAAAAGAAAGAAAAACACAACTACAAGCTTTGCTTTCTTAAAAATTATATACCTAAAGTTGATTCATTAACTTAAAAGTTCTGTTTTTGTTCTGTTCTGTTATCGGATTAAATATTTCCTAATGCTAAAACTCACATTAACTAATCATAATTGTGCGTAATTTGTTGTGAAATTAAATGATTCTTATCTCAAAAAAACACTAACGTAACTTTATTCAAGAACAATATTTTACAATTACCTAAGCTAAATGTAAGAAATGTTCACATTTTTATAGTTTTATATACCTCAATTTGATTTCCAATCAAAGTTGGCTATCAAAGTCATTAAAACTCAATCAAGTTTTGGTTTTTTTCAGATTTAGCTGAGTATTTTCTAGCAATTTCAAGGGCAATCTTACCCAAATTTTAATCAAATTTAAAGATGTTTCCTAAGACATATCTCAAGCAGACCTTCAGTTCCCACGAACATACATTCCCTCCCATTATCTTTTCTGCCAAACTGAACAACCAAACATTGCTCTACCCCAACGACCAAGTTTAAGCATTGCTTTTTAGCCACGATCCGATCGACCCAGTTTAGTTTTTTAGTTTCAAACCTATAGCAAATCGTGATCCATACACTATATAGTATAGGAAAAGATACCACAGAGCAGAGATAATCTCAGCCCCGGGGG